AGTGAACCAGCAAAATGCTGGAAGTAGAGGTGTGACTGAAATGGTAGAATACCAACCATGAGTGAAAATGCCAATTGTCTCACACACACACACACACACACACACACACTAAAAATAACAACACGCAGCAAAAGAGGGCCAGAAGCATGGCTAGGTGTCAGAGCACCTGCCTGGCAAATGCAAGGTCCTGAGTTCAAACCCCAATACCATTAGAAAATAAAGGTGGGAAACCTAATAAGCAAATTATGCCAAGTTTCAGGATACTACATCAATCCCAAAATCACTTGCAGGGCTGGGCACCAGTGGGTGATGCCTAGTTACTCAAGAAGCTGAGACCTGATGATCATAGTTGAAAGCCAGCGCAAGCAGGAAAGTATGTGAGACTCTCATCTCTAGTAACCACTAAAAAACCAGAAGTAGAGCTGTGGCTCAGCCAATAGGGTATTAAAAAAACACCTAAAAGACAGTGTTCATTATATATATATATATATATATATATGTGTGTGTGTGATTATATATATATATTATATATAAATAATTATATATAATATATATATGTGATTTTATATATATATATTATATATAAATAATTATATATATAATATATATATTCACATTTTCTTGATCCATTCATCTAATGAAGGGCATCTGGGTTGGTTCCATAGCTTAGCTATGGTAAATAATGCTGCAGTAAACATAGTTGTGCTGGTAGCTTTAGTATGGTCTTGTTTGTGATCCCAAAAGTGGGATTGCTGGGTCATAGGGGAGCTCTATGTGGAGTCTTTTGAGGAACCTCCATACTGCTTTCCAAAATGGTTGAACAAGTTTACACTCCCACCAACAATGCAGTAGGGTTCCCATCTGGCCACATCCTCTCCAGCATCTGTTGCATTAGAGTTCTTGATTATAGCCATTCTACCTGGGGTTAGTGGAATCTCAATGTTGTTTTGATTGGCATTTCTTTTATGGCTAGAAAAGTTGAGTATTTCTTCATGTGTCTATTGGCCATTCTTATTTCCTCTTCAGAGAAGTTTCTCTTTAAGTCGTTAGCCCACTTATTTATCCGGGAATTCTATGCCTCCATCAGAAAGAATAACATTGCCCCATTTGTTAGGAAATGGAAAGACTTGGAAAAAATTATATTAAGTGAAGTAAGCCAGGCCCAAAGAAACATAGGTCCCATGGTTTCCCTTATTTGCAATAACTGTTATATATGTCTGGGACAAGCAGAAAAGGTCATATAAGATTATGTTAAGTGAAATGAACCCCAAGATAGGGACACAAGTGGGTTTTTTTTTCCTTTTTTGCTATTGTTTCTAACATATTTATAAGGTACCATGTGTTTTTTTGTTGTTGCTTTGTATGTCCCTCCCCCTCGGTATAACTCCTGTTTTCACTGTATTTGATGTTGGTATAATTTCGGGAGGGGAAGGGAAAAAACAAAATGTTTAAATACAGATACAGGTGGACCCATTGCAACAATGAGATGTACAAGACACTATGTTGAAAAACAAACTTTACAATTTAGGCCAGGGAGGTGGGGAGGGAGTGTAGCTGTTGAGGTGGAAGGGAAGGGATGGCAGGGGACATACAAAGGAGGAGGCAACAATGCTCGATAAGAAATGTACTCATTACCTTGCTCATGTACCTATAACCCTCTGTACAATATTTTCACAATAAAAAAATTATTTTTTTTAAAAAGTGCCCAAACCCTCAGTTCAAGCCTCAGTATTAGGAGGGGCGGGAAATCATTTTCGGGGACTAGGGATATAGCTCAGTGGAGTGCTTTCCTAGGAAAATATATGCAAGTATATGCAGGATCTGAATTTAATCCCTGCAAACACACACACACACAAACATTTGCATTTATGTTAGCAATGAAAACTTAGCAACTGAACTTTTAAAATAGTGCCACTTAACAATGGCCTTGAATATATTAATATTTAGGCATAAATCCGACAGAAGACATATAGTATATATACACTACTCCAAAGTATTGCTGGAAAAGATTAAAAATAAGCTAAATAAATGATACTATTCTGATGGGCCAAAAGATTCAATATCATTTAGATGAAAAGTCTTCCTATATGATTGATGGATGCAGAAAAAATCCTAGTGAAAATCCCAGAACACGATCTTATAAAAATTAGCAAGCTAATTTTACAATGTATATAAAAGTGCAATGGATCAAAATAACTTTGAAAAAGAGCAAATCAAGGCATTGTAATACTGGCATAAAGATAGATAGGTTGGTAAATGGAAAAGACACAGTCCATAAATAGATCTACATACACAGACAATGAATATCTGATAAAGGCAACCCAACAAAGAGTTTTTAACAGCTGTGCTGGAGCAAGTGAACATTCACCTGATATTTACCTCAATCCATACCTTGTAACACATGAAAAAAAAAATAGATGCAAAATTGCCCAGACCCCAAATGTAAGAACTTAAAAAAAAAACTTCTTGCATGAAATCACTGCACCCTTTCCAATCTTTGCAAGTTAGACAAAGACCACTTTTAATATGATTTGGGTTCAAACCCAGACTGGGCTGGAAAGCCCCTAAAACTCTTATCTCCAGTTAACTACCAAAGCTAGAAATAAAGCTGTGGCTCAAGTGATAGAGTAGTAGCCTTGAGCACAAAAGCTCAAGGACAGTGCCCAGGTCCTGAATTCAAGCTCCAAGACAGCACCATAAAAAAATCCAGCATCATCAGGGATTAGAGAAAATAAAACTGACAGGAGAGCTAGAAGTGTGGCTCAAGTGGTAGAACATCACCCAAGTAAGTATTAGTGAGCTTGAGGTACTGAGATCAACACCTAGTATCAGAAAAAAAAAAATCACCTTTAAAACCACAAGAAGATATCATAGTAAACCTATCAGAGTGGCCAAAGTTAGAAAGATAAGCAATACCAAATGTTGGCAAGGATGTGAAAAAACTGGAACTCCCAGACACTGCTAGGGAAAATGTTAAGTGGTACAACCACCTTAGAAAACAATGGCGGTTTCTTTAAAACCTAAACTTACACAATCAGCTCCATCCAAAAGAATATATGAATGCATATGTTCATATAAAGTCTTACACTAATATTTGCCACACCTTTATTTGTAATAGCCAAAAGTTGAAAAAAAAACTAAATATTTACAAATAGACAACCAGATTTTTTAATTGTACTATATCACTATAATAGCACACAGATAGGTAATATAAAAGCAAACTTTTGATACATTCAAGGACATGAGTGAATGGAAAATTAATGATGCTAAGCAAAAGAATCCAACCTGAGAATTTGTTGTCTCATGCATATAATCCTAGCTACTGGGAACTCTGAAATCTAAGGATAGGTGTTCCAATCCAACCTAGACAGAAAAGTCTGTGAGACTCTTATCTCCAGTTAGCCACCAAAAAGCCGAAAATGGAGCTGTGGCTCAAGTGATGGCGCATCAGCCTTGAGAGAAAAGGGGAAGGGGCAACACTAGGCTCTATGTCTAAGCGCTAGTACTGACACACATGCATATGTACACACACAGAATTAAGGCAAAGGGCTTACTACTGGAATTACTATTACTGATAAACATTACTGACAACCACATCATATAAATTAATTATAAATAATACATTTTAAAATACCTCAAAGGACACATTTTAAAGCCAAGAAGACTTTTGTTAATCCTCACTCAGCTGGGCACTGGTGACTCACACCTTTAATTCTGGCTACTCAGGAGACTGAGATGTGAGGATCATGATTTGAAGCACAAGTCAGTGAAACTTTTTATCTCCAATAAATTTCCAAAAAGCTAGAAGTGGAGTTGTGGTTCAAGTAGCAGAGCACTATACCTAAGCAAAGTAGCTCAGAGATAGTGCCCTGGCCCTGAGTTTAAACCCCAGGACCAGCATGAAAAAAATAAAAAAGTAATATTTACTTGAAATACATCTTACCGTTATTGATATAAACATATATATATATATATATATATATATATATATATATATAAAGTCTGCTGAGGTAGTGACAATACAATCCCACTCCTGAGAACTAGTGACAGTCTGGTTGTGTTTTGTCTTGAAGTGGAAGAGGGTAGATATAATAGAAGGATGTGTCCACTCTTTGGTACCATTGTTTCATTCATTTGTTAAATCACACATTGTGATTAGATACTTCCTTGCCTTGGCATCTTAGACATATTTCAATTTAGGAACTTCTGTGTTTTGCATTAAAACAGCATTTCAAATACTTGAAAAACCACTCCTTTCCTCTGTTAGTGCTTAAAGCTTACTGTTCCTATGTGAATGTTCCATTCCAGCTTCCTGAAAACTACCAAGTTTTAATGCACAGATGTGTTGCACATATTTATAAGAGCAGCACAAAAGCAACTAAGTAACTAATGATCAGTAGGGAGTAGGAGAGAAGAGAAATAGACTGTGGGCAGTAGGGGGAGTGAGGGTATATATAGCTGGGGGAGAATGAAGAAGATTGAACACTATCAAAATAGACTATTTGCAACTATGAAAACAGAACAAGGATATCCGTTGGAAATTCTATTTCTAGGGGAAGGGTGCAGGGAATGTGTTGGAGGGGATAAAATTGTTTGAAATATAGTGTTAACATGTATCAAGATGTAATAATGAGATCCCCTCTCCCTATATAAATGACACAAGCCAAAAATATTAATAAAAACAAAGTACAGATGTGTTTGAAATATCTGCAGTGTTCCATTAACATCTGGCTTTGTTATCATGTGAGAAAAGAATGCCATGAGTGTAAGAGATAAAAGTCAACCATAGAATTTGGACTCCAGATGTATTTTCTGACCTCATTGTGCTACCCAAGCATGAACATGCAGATTAGTGAGATCTGGGAACCATGATGACATCCCCCTCACCTTTCTGTCACTCTCATGATGGTTGTAACTCAGTCTCTCTCTCTCTCTCTCTCTCTCTCTCTCTCTCTCTCTCTCTCTCTCTCTCTCTCTCTCTCTCTCTCTCTCTCCTTCAGGGTGTGAACGGCATGTCTGTGGATGAGAAGCCTGACTCCCCCATGTACGTGTATGAGTCCACAGTCCACTGCACCAACATCCTCCTGGGCCTCAATGACCAGCGGAAAAAGGACATTCTCTGTGACGTGACTTTGATCGTGGAGAGGAAGGAGTTCCGAGCCCATCGGGCCGTGCTGGCTGCGTGCAGTGAATACTTCTGGCAGGCTCTGGTTGGACAGACAAAAAATGACTTGGTGGTCAGCTTGCCTGAAGAGGTACAGTGACTTGATTTGCTGGTGTGGTTCTCAAAGGAGGTTCTTGTATTATTAAAAAAAAAAAAAAAAAACTAGCTGCATATGAGGTAAAAGGTATATTCTGTGCTCCATCGATGTCCAAGTCACCCATACTTCGGTTTGTGGCCTAGAGAGTTTCTATTTGATACACTTGAAGTCTCAGAGGGATGAATATGAACAGAGCATGTTTCTTTAGGGGAACTGAGCCTCTGGGGCTCAGTCACTCATAGTTTCTAGTTCACTTCAACTTCCGGATTTGAGTTGTTTGGTACCATCCTGAATGTGGGATCTGAATCAGTGAATCAGTGCTATGAGTTCGCTCTTTCAAATGGTGTGAAGATTGCTAGGTTTCCCTTGAGAATAAAGAATGAAAGCCTTCTCATTGCCTTCCTCACTTGGGCAAAAGATAAAGCACCAATAATTCTTGTCCTTATTATGAGATTTTAAGTGGTGTAAACTTTTTCATCATTGATGAAAATACCCTATTCAGGTTTCCTAAATACTTCAGTGAATCCAGTCATTTTGCTACTCTTAGGGACTTGAGTAGCAGGACCTGCTCTGTCCAGAGATGATGTTCAGTTGTATGGTTTGAGCTACAGAATGTAGAGAATGGGTTTACAATGGAAAATTGTTAAGTTGGTCATCTTTTAGACTATGTATACAGTTGTTCTTTGGCATCCTGGTTTCCCTTACTTTCAGGACATTAAGGGCCATACTGAGCATCCTTGGCTTTGTGTTCAGGGCAGTTATTTCCTGTATCCTCTGGTACAGTGTGCAAGTAAAACACTAGAACCACCAGTAGCAGTTGTACAAGTTGTGTACTGCACAATTTTTGCAAATAGGCCTCAAGGTCGTCCACTTTCTCACTGAATAGTTTTTTACAGCAATATAAAAGAAAACTAAAGACCTAACACTTGGATGTGAGGTACTCATGATTATAACTACAGATGCTTTTGGAGACTTAGAAAAATAATACTAATGAATAAGTCAGGTTATATATAAGATGATAGGAAGTACTGGGGTGAGCACTTGCTCTATCAAGAAGTATCTGAATCTGAGATAAAACACAAATAATGGGCATGACTATACTTATGATTTCAATACTCAGGAGGCAGAGGCAAGAAAATCACAAGTTCAAGACTAGACTGGATTACATAGTGAGTTCACGGCCAATCTGGTCTGTTCAGAAAGATTAAACAATGTTTAGTAACTTGCCTAGCATGGCCAATGCCTTGAATTTGAACACCAGCACTAAAAACAAGCAAAAAGTGGCAAACAAGGTACACGAAATGGAGGGAGTCACCAGATTTCAGTCCCTTAGTAAGCAATGTCTACAATTACCTGTGAGGAGCAGAAGATAAAATGCTGGTTGCATAATCACTCAGTATTTCCACATTAGTTTTCTTTATATATATATACATATACATATATATATATGTACACACACACATACCACAAAACGCTCCATCAACACTTTTCATACCACTAGTGAATCAACAGCTAGAGAGACTTAAGAAGGAAGGGGATCAATCAGTGGCAGAAGACATAACTATGGTTGGGGTAAGGAGAGTAGCACTGCATGCCAGGTAACCTGAAAGACTGAGGAATGGCAGCTGAGGTGTGGCTGGGGATCTGAGCTCCATTTTCCCATCTTCATTAAGGTGGAGGACATACTTAACCATTTTATAGGTTGCCAGTAAATTTTCAGAGCCAGGCGCTGGTGGCTCACTCCTGTAATCCTAGCTACTCAGGAAGCTGAGATATGAGGATGGCAATTCAAAGCCAGCCCAGCAGGAAAGTCAATGAGACTCTTTATCTCGAATTAATCACCAAAAAACCGGAAGTGGCGCTGTGGCTCAAGTGATAGAGTGTTTACCTTGAGCTGAAGAGCTCAGGGACAGCACCCATGCCCAGAGTTCAAGCCCCATGACAAAAAAAAAAAAAAATTCAGCACACTGCCTGTCACATAGCAGGTATTTGTCATATAGCCCTTTCTTCTCTAAATGGGAGCAAAAATGTTTTCTTCCTTCTCTTTAACCTAGAATTCTCTAGAAATATTTGGAAAACTTACAGATACAACATAGTCTTGACAAAGAATGTAACCTTTACAGTTTATTATCTATTCCATGTTTTAAAACCATTTTATGTATTGTACTACTTTGCAAAAGAAATAGGTGACATTAATATACATATGCAAATGAAAATCATATTTTATGTAATTAGCCTTTCTTTAGTGGCTCTGTTAGCCCCATTCTTGGATCAGATCATGTCCCTTAAGCCTGGACTGGACCCTGTTCAGCACTGGAATCCTGACCTAGCCACTTTCTCTTGAGCCCCAGGTCTTACCTGTAAGAGCCCTAAAATTCTAGCATCCTTAAATCTGTTTCTCTCTCTCTCTTGCTTCCTCTCTCTTTCTCTCTCCAATTTGAGGCAGATCTCTCTCTTGTCTTCCCAAGACAAGAGAGAAAGAGGAAGGAAGGAAGGAAGCAGGAAGGAAGGAAGGAAAAGAAAAGAAATGAAGGAAAGAAAAGAAACCGAGCTAGAAGGACTGAGAAGCAAAGACATGTGTTGAGTCTTAACCACAAGGTGCAGTGTGGAACAGCCATGCAGCACTACAAGCAGCCAAGCACAGATGCCAATAAGATTATGGAGTCTTCTTGTCTGGAAGTTTTTATGGAAGCTATGAAAGCTGTTAATGTCTCTGGAATGGTTTAGGTCCAGTCTGTCAAGAAAGCAATCCAACAGGCATGATTATCTTTGGACAGTCCCTGTGATATGTAATGCTACAGCAAGTTTATAATATGGCAGCACAGGATGTCAATAGCACTCTGAGCTGGGTGCAATGGTAGCAGAGAGGGGAGAGTTCTAAGGGACACAGAGGGTGATCCTGGGAAGCAGTATGACCACAGTAAGAAGGGCAAAGCAGTCACCCAGCCCAGAGCACAGAGCAGTCCATTTTCTTCCCCATGATGCCAACTAACAAACCTTTGTGGGAGACACCGTGCTGCCTGAAAAAGAATAAAAGCAAATTTTAACAGCTAAAGAGCATTAGCCATAAGGGGCTGGGAATGCCTGGCCCTGAACCAGCTGCATGTGAGATATCAGACAAACCAATCAACTTCCTTGGACCTATGTATTCATTCAGAAAAACACATATCAAGGTCTGTTCTAGATGCGGTGTGAATTTTGCTTGTATAACAACTGGGGAGGAGGAGAAAGGAGAGATTACTATATGCCATTAAGGAAATTTAAAATAGAAATGAGAGGCTAGGAAGGTGGCTTAGTGGGAGAGTACTTGCCTTGCATGCATGAGGCCCTGGGTTCGATTCCCCAGCACCACATAAGCAGAAAAAGCTGGAAGAGGCTCTGTGGCTCAAGTGGTAGAGCACTAGCCTTGAGCTGAAGAGCTGAGGGACAGCACCCTGGCCCAGAGTTCAGGCCCCACAACCAGCAAAAATAATAATAATAATAAAATAAATAAAAATAAAATAGAAATGAGGATTAGGAAATATTAGGGTACAGGTGATGGGATTTTAAATAGGTTATCAAGGAAGGCTTGTTTGCAGGAGTGACTTTTGGAGATACACGGGGGGGGGGGGGGGGGGGGGGGGCAGGTAGCTGTGCTGACAGCTAGAGAAAGAATGAAGTAGGCAGAGCAATACCAATAAAAGGACCAGAGGCTGGACAGGCATAGCATGTCTAACACATGATAGCAGAAATGAGGGAAGGTGAAATGAGGAGAGACATGTCAAACCGGTGACTGAGCACCTTACCAGACAGTTGACCTTCACTTGTAATGAACTGGAAAGCCATTAGACAATTCCACAGAAGATTATTTTGACTGCCATGTGAAAATACATTGAAAGAACGCACTGGAAGAGGCAGGAAAACTCCTGAAGTGACCAAAACAATAATCAAGACATATGATAGGATGGTCTTGACCTAGGGATGTCAATTGTCAGTATCAGGATCTGGCGGTATTTTAATGGTAGAGCTTAGGCTTTTTTCTTACAAATTGGATGTAAGATAGGAGAGAAAAAGAAGAGATTCCAAGGGTTGGGCCCCGAACTAATAGAAGAACTGAGTTGTGGTTAACTGAGACTGTCAAAACTTGAAAGGAGTAGGTAGGGATGTAAGGACAGAAGGTAAAACAAAGTTAGAAGTTCAATTTTATGTATATTAAGTTTGAGATGTCTGTTCACATCTAAATATAGATGTCTAATACACAGTTGGGCATAGGTAGCTAGAATTCATGGGCACAGTCTAGTCTAGAGTGAAGAATTTTAAAACCAGATGGATATTGAAAGCCTCTCAGTAATGTAGAGGCCATTTGTGGTTTCATTGATCATTTTTGGTGGAGCACTAGAAGCAAAAAGCAATCCAGTTTCATGCTACAGTGAATGAAAAAAGCAAAAAGCTAATGTAGGCTTTATTTTTAAGGTCTTTCAACTTAAAAGGAGTAGTGACATGGGCTGGTCCAAGAAGCTAGAAAGAAGTTGTGTCAAAAGATGTTTCATTTGTTCTTATGCCTTATGTAGGAAGAAATTCCAACATGTTTGTACTGTGTAGGCAAGGATTACCAGAATTCACCCAGACCTAGTTTTCTTCTCTTTGTTGCATACAGAGGAAAACTAAACTTGTAATCAGGCTGGCTATGACATGTAATCAATGACAAGTGATAAACTATTACATCACTCCTGGATTGAGGCTATTAAAAGTAGGTCTGAATTCTTCATACTGTTTACTATCCATGTAGCTGGTATCAAAGAAATCCAAGATGGTGCAGAAGCCTGAATCTTGGAGTCACTGATGGAAGAGAGCCAAGAAAATGAACCATCTGATGCAACTCAAATTCTGAGATGAATAAGAAATAAAGCTCTATGTTAAGTCAGTAAGCCTTGACATTTATCTGGGTGTGTGGTACTTATCTGTAGTCCCAGATACTTAGCAGACTGAGGTAAGAAGATGGCTTAATCCTATAG